GTTACGTGCGCCTTGGAAGGAGACATTCCCATGTGGCTTCACTGCCCCCAGCTCACGTACCCCTGGCCACAGCAGCCTCCTGGCAACTCCTCACACCCGCCAGCAAGTCCTGGTGCCCGAACTCTCCCTTCATAGACCCCCACACGTCCTGCAGCCTCTGCTTGGGTGCTCCCTAACAGTGAGGCCCTTCTTGGCCCCCTGGCCAACACAGCCCTGCAGGTCCCTCTCTCTTACTCTGCCTTGTTCTGCTTCGTAGCCCTCATCACTGCCGCTGTTACATGTTTTTCTGCTGATTGTCCATCTCCCCACTGGACAGTGAGCCCCAGGAAGGCCAGGGCTTTGTCTTGTCCTCAGCTGAATTTCCCAGCACCTAGAGCTGCGCTTGCCTCCTCGCAGGTGTTGAGTGAATGCTTGTTGAATGAATGGATGGAGCGTTTTGAATAGGCGGTGCTTCCGGACGTTGTTAGAATACTCAGGCTTTTGAACTGAGTGTTTTAGCAATACCCACGAGCCAGGAGAGGGCCTTCCTGCCTCAGCCATAGCTGCGGTTGTACCCTGAGCACAGTGTCCCCTGGGCCTCAGTGAGGAGGCCCGCGTCCTGGCCCCCAGAGCCTGGGTGGGCTCTACACCTCTGAGAGTCCTTCTCCCCGCTCTCGGGTTCTGTCCTGTTAGTGCAGGGGAGAGTTTAGTTGTCCCTTTGTGCAGAGAGAACCTTTTGGACACGTGTGTGTCCCTCCGGGCGTGAGAAAACAGCCTGAGTGAATGCATGTGAGCACACTTCCACCCAAAGAAGACTGTGGGTGGATGTGCTTGTGTGTAAGGAGCCGGGCGGCCCACGGGAGGGAGGCAGAGTGAGTGCACGTGTGTGTGTGTGTGTGTGTGTGGGGTGGGGGGAGAGGGCACAAGAGGACACGTGGTCTCTGTCCCCCAAGCACACAAGGCTCTGGGTGTGGCGCGTGGGGACCCCTGGGCTGGGCAGAGCCTGCGTCCTGGCCCAGCTTGCGTCCTCTGGGTTCAGCTGCAGAGGGTACACACTCATGCTGTACAGAAGCTGTAAATTCCAGGAAACTCCCTGCCAGCCGGGCGCGGTGGGGGAGGGAGTGGAGGGTAATCCGGGCTGGCTCCCTAGCACTTGGAGAGCAGATGTGTCTGCCTCAGGGACAGCAGCCCAAGAAAGTTCAAACCAAAGTGTGTTTGCTCACTATAAAAGAGACCTCTGTGAGGGGCCCTGGAGGGGGGATTTGGGGGGGGTGCACTCTGCCAGAGGTCCTCACTGGGGGCCCACAGAGGCCATTGTATCTTGTCGGAGGGGAGAGGGGAGGGGGCAAGGCAGGAGCACCGGGGTGTGGGAGCTGCTGGGTCATCTTTCTTGGCGTTTTACAGCCAGCTCCCAAACACAGTTGCTGCTCCTGCTGAAAGAGGCTGGGCCAGAAGGAGGTGGGGTCCTTTGCCACTGGAGGGCTGGAGTGAAGGGGCCCCGCCCCGGGGGTTCCCGGATGACTGGCCAAGGGCTCACTGAAGCCAGCGAGGGAGACGAGGCAGGCGTGGTCCTCCCCAGCAGGCCCTCCGGCTGTTTGGAAGGCCCTGGCGGCCCCCCAGGCCCTTGAGCCGAACCCCCTTTGCGGTCTGATCCTAACCCTCGCCTGCCCCACCCCCTTCCTTCTCTGCACTTCTGGGGCTGGCCTTTTCAGTGCTGGAAGCTACCCAAGAGCATATCTTTGAAGCACAGCAAAGGTTCGGAAGGAGGAAGACAGAAATGTCCTCTGGGCTGGGGGAGTGGGAGAAAGGAATTCCATGCATGCTCCACGGGAGTCAGGGAAGCAGCCCTGGTGGGGGCGATCGCCTTGGCAGCGGTGGTGCCCAGCATGTCCTGCTACCCACTTCTGGCCGCCTGGCCCTGTGTGGAGTGAGCCCTCTTCCAGGGCTGTGGGCAGGGAGCAGGGAGCGGTGGCCCTTGTTTACAGGGCTTGTTTCAACCTTGGCTCACAAGGGTAAGAGCCGGGCCCTGCCATCCGCCCCTACAGGATGCAAGACCTCATAATTGTCTTCAATTACAGACAGTGCCGGCCCTCAGCCCTGGCTTCCGACAGGAACCAGAGCCTGAGCCACTGCCACGGGGGGCAGGGGGAGCCAGCCAGCCCCCACTGCAAGGTTTGGGGTCTCCCTGTGGCCTTTGGGGCACTTCCAAATGCCATGGGCCCTGGGGTTCACCCAAAATGTGGCCTCGGGGCTGTGGAGAGCCTGTCACTGTTGAACACCTACCTTCTTTGTCCCTGATCAGGATGAAACTTCTGTGAGCAGTGAAGATTTTGATATGAACGACTCCACATGGATGTCAGCTGACCCACACCTGGCCTCCAGCCTGAGTCCCAGTCAGGACGAGAGGATGCGGAGCCCGCAGAACCTCCACAGCCAAGAGGACGGTGAGTGTCCCTTGGGGGCCGGTGGGGGAGGGGCTGCACCTGCCCACCTGCCCGTGCCTAGGAATCTGGGATGGTGGGGCCTCTAGGGGTGGCGTTCTCAGCATCTCTGTGGGCCCCAGGGCCCCGGCCCCTGGTTCCAGAGAGAGCAGGTCGTTCCCCTAGAGATGCCTGGACAGAGCTCTTGGGGCGGGGGGGTGTGGTGACTGGTGGCCTGGCGGGCCATGCTTGTTTGTTTGCACTGATGCTCAGGGGCTGGCGGGATATGGATTTCCATGTGGTCACGATTCAGGTCCGGGAAGGTTAACAGTGTGCCTGACCCAGAACAATCGAGCTCCCCAGTGATGAAAACAGGAGCTGGGCTTCTGCGGCGTTGACTTGAGGCTGTAGGACAGGGTCCCTCACCTGTGAGTGAGCAGGTGGTGCACTTGTCCATGTGTGTGCCCCCGGCCCCTCAGGATGAGCCGTGGTTCGGCGGAGGAGCTGTCCAGACTGGTCTGTAGGCCCGGCCCCACCGTCCTCCAGGGCCTGCCAGGCATTCTCCTCCAACCTCCCTTGAAACAGAGGCTTCCTTCTTGGGGTGGGAGAGTTGGGGTCAGAGGTCAGATCCCAGACGTCCACTCCAGAGCTCTTGCATGGAGCTTCCCCGGGGGGCTGGGCTCCGGGGCTCCAGCACTGCCTCAGTCAGATGCAGTTCTGGGCCAGGGGTGGTACCTGTGGTTAGAGCGTCCCTGGCTGGGCCTGATTTCCCGGGAGAAGGTGATCGGGTGTGGGGGATGAGCCGGAGCCGGGCCTCAGAGAACTGGGGTGTAGAGCTGGCAATTAGGAGGGGTCGAAGGTCGGGGCCTGGAATGCTGGAGGGAGGTGCAGGGTTAAAAGGGGGTGTAATGTTAACTCTGTGAAACGGGTTAGCCTTAAAGAGTAAATAAGGGGTAGGAGCCTCACAGTTTGGGTCAAAGTTCGTCTCCATGGCAGAAGCCGGGCGCCTGCCTCCCGACTGCTCTTGCGGGCTGAGGCCGGCTTTGTCTGGGAGGAGACGCAACCTGGAGGCAGCTGGGGTGGCTGGGCCAGGGGCTGGGGAGTCCAGGGGGTGGTTCTGTGAGGAGTGGGGTGCGAGGCTGCTGGGAAAGAAAAGGCTTTTGTATCTGATGCCTCGTGAGGTCAGCAAGACCCCCTCGTGCTGCGAGCCTCCCAGAGCAGTACTGGCTTCCAGCGCTCCCACGGGATGGGGACCCGGGGGGGGCAGCCACATGCTGCTGGGGGCCCTGGGGTTGGGACGTGCCCGGCAGCTGACCTCCCGCCTCATCTGAGCCAGGGGAGGGCCACACCCAAGGCCACACCAAGGGCCATGCCAGCAAAGCTCAGCCAAGGGCCCTAGGTTATACCTTCCCAGGAAGGATTCAGAACATTTTTCTTTTAAAGCCTTATTAGTAGGATTGGATGGGGGCCATATTCCCCCAACTCATTCTTGAAAAAGTCTTGTGTTATTGTTGCTCACAGCCACCCTTTGGGAGTCTGATCTCTGTCTAAGACACTTCCCAGGGAGATTTGGTGATTTGGGGGGCCTCCAGGGTCAGGGAGCAGAAGGGAGTGTTTCCGTGGGGGTCGTGGGGCTTCCTCAGCATCAGTTGCCCTGTCACCTGGAGGTTGGCTGATCATGAAGATGAAGCTGAGAGAAGCAGTGAGGCTGGTGGGGTCAGCATGTCCTGCAGCTGGACCCACGGGAGCCCAGTGAGGTAGCCGACCTGGGTGTCATCATGCATATCCCCCACCCAGGTCCCTCCTGGCCATGGGTGCTGGGGCTGAGGCAGGCTGGCCTGCTGACAGGACAGGGGTGTTTATCAGGGCGGGCAGCCAGAGCTGGAGACAGGGAGGATGGTGTCGACCATGATACCATCAATTTAATTATTTAATCAGAGACTGTGTCTGGAGGCTGTGGGCTGATGTGCTGGCCAGAGGCTGACCTAGACCCAGTGCAGGGGGTCGCAGGCCTTGAGAGATTGGCTGGCCTGGTCTCTGCTGCCCCTTCTGGTCCTAGATCTGTTGGTGACCACCATGTCTATCCCAAGCACTGGGTCCCCAAGGGGAACTGGAGTCCCCATCCAGCCCTCCAGCCCCCACCATGGCATGCTCCCCTCTCTGGAGGTGCTTCCAGTGCAGACACGAGCTGAGAACCTGCTCCCATCAGTGAGTCAGTGAGAAACCATCAGTGGTTTCAGGGGTTTCTCATGTCCCCTGTTGTTAATGAAGGACTGGGTGGGGACAGGCCAAGCAGGGGCTCTGTTTGACCCTGCTCTCTGCACCCAGCCATAGCCCTCCATGGTCTCCACTCCCTGCACATGTGCTTTCATCCAGAAGCTTCCCCAACCCCACCAAGCCCCAAGGTGGCTTGGTGTGCCGTCTCTGGCCCTCAGTCCTCCGTGGAAGTGGCAAGTTGGAAAGATGATGTCTGAGGCCCCCACTGTGAGCTCTGTGAGATGAGGACCATGTCCATCTTGCTCTCTGCTCTGTCCCCAGTGACTCTGGCTGCATGCCTGACATGTTACAGGGGCCTGCTGAATATTTGTCACCTGAATGAATAAAGGAACAAATGTTTATTGAGACCTACCCCGAGCACACCATCTGGAGGGGATGTAGGCCCACCCCTTGCTGGGGACAAGTTGGGTTCTTTGTTCCTGAGGACACCCCCCAGTCTCGGCACCTGAATCTTTTCCCTTAGCCAGAAAGTGTGGGGACTCCCAAGGCTGTGCTGGGAAGCATCCCACCCTGCTGGCCAGGGATGCAGTCCAGAAGCATTTCAAGAAGCCAAGCAGTTTGGACAGATTCACACATGTTGGTGGATGCTTTGGGACCCTCCTCTTCCTCCTCCTCCTTTTTCAAGTTTTAGCAGAGGCAGATGAAGGCTGGGCCTTGGCAGGGTAGGTCCGACGGCTGAGACCAGGAATGAATTTTCCGCAGGCCAGCTCTCACTCCCGGGAGCTTGTCTCTGAGGTTTACCAGGAGTGGGAGTGTGCTTGCTCTGAAACAATGTGGTGCGCTTGTCCCCAAGCCCTCCATGCACAGCCTGCGGGACCTCACTTCACAGATCTCTTTTACGGGTCCTGTTCCTGGCTCCCTGACATCACAGCAGTGGGTGCTTGGCCGGGGAGCACTGCTCACCCAGTGCTCCTTCACCTGGGGCGCATCGCTCAGGTCCCATCCCATGGGAGGAAACTGCATCAGGGAGAGAATTCCAAGGATCTGGCCAGAGTCAGGAGGGGGTGCGGAGGCTGCTCCCCTCCCCTTTCCTCTTTGGCAGGCGTCGAGGCCATGTGTGAGGGTCCCCAGAAGATGGCGGGGGAGCCTGGGAACCAGAGGAGGTTCTCCCTGCACACTCACAGCATTGGCTTCTCGGGGTCCCAACCACGGCAGGCAGGGCCAGGCGAGGGCCCCTCCTTTCATTTCCCCTTGATGTGCTTCCCCAGGCCTCTTGCTCTGCCCCTTCCTGAGCGGAAAATGTGAGGCCTGGCTTCAGAAGGGATGCATGGGGGTGGGGAGCGGACATTACTCACCTCCTGGGTAGACAGGAAACCAGCATCAGGGGAGAGCCCAGGGTCCTGCTTCCGTCTTCCTGCAGGGTCCTTGGGGGTTTCTGGGCAGGAGCTGTGTGGCGTCCTGGGGCATCTCAGGGCCTCTTGCTTGTGCCTCTGAGAGATGGCTCCTCCAACCTTGGGCCTGTGAGACCCCTGGACCTCAGAGTTCCCTCCCTCCAGGGACATGGTGTCAGCACTTCCTGCCCGCAGACCATAAGGTCTGGAGCTGCCTCTCCAGTGCCCATCGCTATGTCACGAGGCCGGACAAAGGTGTTGAGGGTCCTGGCTTAAGGCTTGGCTTCTTTCAGGCTTGTCCTCAGTTTTGTCGTGCAAATGCTTAGCCGCCGTCACTTGCGTGCGTGGATGATGAGCCCGGCCCTGCTTTGGGGGACCTGTAGTCTGAGAGACAGGTGCGAGCTGTCTGAGGGCAGGCAGTGTGTCTTCGTAGAAGTGGATCTTATTTTCCGCCTTATTTCACAAGTATTACAGTCATTGTAGAAAATTTAGAAAAAACAGAGGGGCAAAAAAAATGAAAATCAATACCAATGTTTGGGGCATATTCTTCTCAGTCTTTAATGTGCATATCATCAGTCTCATTTCCTTAAAGAAAAAAAGGGGGTGGACAGTGTAATGTTGCAGCTACTGTTTTTCCCACATAGTGTCATTTACCTCTCCCCCATCAATGATGTGCCATCTTTAAAGGTTGTCCAGTCATCCCAATAACTGGAGGCCCCATTCCTGAGCCTGCTCTGTGCTCAACCCTGAGCTGGTGACAGGGTGACTCCCACCCTGTGAGCTCAGAGCTATGACTGTGCCTTTCCTGCAGAGGCGGAAGTAACTTGCCCAGACCACAAGCGACCATGAGGGTCTGTCTGACTCCAGAGCCAGCATTTGGGCCATTCCTGGGGAAGGACATTCAAGTCCCCCTCTCTTGTTACTACAGACAGTACCACAGGGAGCATCCTGAGGGCCAACCCCTGCCCAGGCCTGAGTGTTCTCTTCTGGGCTTTATCTCCAGCCCCTACCATGGAGCAGCGGCTCCACAAATGGCTGTTGAGTTACCAGTGGTGGAGACGGGGACCAGTGAAAGCCTCTTGGAGAGGCTATATTTGGAGTGGGGTTGAAGTTAGGTAGAGTGGCCTGGGGAGCTCAGGCAGTGTGTCAGGAGGAGGCTGGGAAGGGAGGGAGATGCCAAATGACAGGGCTGGGGGTTTCCTGGGTTGCATGTCTCCAGAAGCTCCCTATGACCCCAAGCTCCAACCAGGAGAGATGGGGCAGGGAGGCTACCACCAGGCCGCCCTACGAGAGTCTGGCATGCAAGCGTTCCAGGAGGATGGAGAGAGGTGGGGCCGCCTCTGTGGGCCTGGGGTCTCCACTGGACGTGGCTCCCTGCAGGCAGGCCCTGTCACTCTGCTGTGGATCTCCTGAGCGGCCCTGGCCTGCCCTGTCCCTGCCGTGTGGTCTTAAACAAGTGGTTCACTCTCTGATTCCCAGCTTCTGCCTGTAGCATGGCCTGGGTGACTGTGACCATTAACCCTGGTGTGTGCTCGGGAGCTCTTTGTGAGATGACCAAGGCTTCCTGCCTTCTGGCTTGTGTTGCCCTCGGGTGGGGCCCTGCACTATGCAGAAATGCAAACTGGGTGTAGGGCGGTCACCTGGGAGCAGGTGTGTGACTTGCTTGCCAGGGCTCAATATTTACAATGGTGCTGCCTCTCTTTGCCTCACCCAGCCAGGCCTCTCCCCTGTGTGCTGTCCCCTGCTCTCTGCAGGGTGGGTCTGCAGGGGAAATGTGCAGGCCCCAGCCCTGCTACCCGACCCAGGCTCAGATACTGCCTCCACTCCCTCCTCACCGTGCGGCCCGGAGCAGATCACCTCCCCTCACTGGACAGTGGGGCGATAATGCGGCACCCACCCTACCGAGCTGTGGAGGATGGGATGACGCGTGGACAGGGCTCGGCACACGCCTCGGGCAGGGAAGGCTCGGTGAATGGTGTTACGGGATCGCTTCCTCTTAGGGGGCCAGGCTGGTGCAGGAGACTGTGCTGGAGGTCTGGAGGCTGGGGTCTGTGGCCACCTGGCATAACCAGACTGCGGGACTGTAAGTGTGTCAGGGGCCTCCCTTGAAAGACTTCCTCCTCACCTCTCCCACATTCTCTGGACCCTTCACTAGACCTACTGGGTCCGGCCCTGTCTCTTCATCCATTCAGATCTCTCTTGGTCCCCTCTGCCCACTGAGCCCTGTGGGGTTTTGACCGCAGCTTTCTTTACAACATCATACCAGCACCCCTCGCCCCTGCTCTCAGCCACCAAAGTCTTGCTTCTTTGGAAAGGGAGCTGGGCTGTGAGGGCCCAGGTGCTCACAGCTGGTCCTGGCATCTCCTGGGTTCCTGTCCCACTCCCCACCCGCACGTGCCAGGTCCTGTGAAGGGACCCTGAGTCTCCGAAGATCCTGCTCCTTGGTCTGGCAAACTCCAGACGTGTCCCAGGCTCCCACACTGGTGGGCAGCTGAGTGGGCAGCTGCGAGTTGGTTCCGCTGTCCAAGGAGAAGGCACCTGGGCGGCAGCTTACTTCCTGTGTGCCAGCCACTGTGCTGGGCCCCGAGGGTGCCACAGGGCGTCCCCGGCCAGGGGGAGAAGTTGTTCTGCAAGGAAATGGGCAGGAGGCCTTACTGCTAGTGGGGAGGGGCGAGTGGGAGTTGGGGCCAGGCTGCATGGGCTCAGAAACGGTCACCTGAATTACCCCTGAGCCGTGGCCACTTCTGGTGTTCTCTGCGCATGCTGCCCACCCTCCCATGGGCCCACCCCTGGGAGGCAGCTCCACGGCCTGCTGCAGCCAACCCCTCATGGATGTGACACTTGTGGTTGGACATCTGCCCTGGTCACTGTCACATGGGAGGAGGATTGTGGCCCCTTCTCTGTGCCCTCCCTGGGATGGCTTCTGAGGGACTTTTCCTGCAGTGGGCCTTTGAACTGAGCCTTCTCTCCCCGACACCTGCTGATCCCCACCCTGTCCATCCCTTATCCTGTTTACCTCCGATGAGGCTAGAAACTGCCTCTGGGCCTCATTCTCCGGCTACAGGTCACCCCCTCCTCCCCACCCCCTTCTAGAGCAAGAGGTATTTGCTCCTTTTCAAGGCTCGAAACATCCACACTGGATGGCCTCTTGCCCTCCCTTCCCCCCAGGAGCAGAGAACGGGGGCCCAAGCCCTTCCAGGGATTGGCTGTGGGCCACCCTGGCAGTCCCAGGTCACAGGAAAGTGTCCATCATCAGCTCGGCTGCAGGCGGCACAGACAATGCTGAGCTGTCCCGGCCTCTGGCCTCCGAGGGGTGAGAAAAGCTGGGAGACAGCACCGAGAGATCCCTTTATCCCAGGAGCAGGCTGGGCCGGCACAGCCCTGGCCTTGTACAGGCTGTTGGGGTCTTAGGCACCCACAGGCCCCAGACGCCTGGTGAGGACATTAGGGCAAGACAAGCTCCGGGGCCTGAGGAGGTGAGGCTCACCTGCTGAGAAAGGGAGCGGCAGGCTCCACACATACCTAGGAGATTAGCCTGGGCCTGCTGGGCCATCGTGGAAGTCAGAGCCACCCTCAGCCCAGGACACATGTAGACCTGGCTTCCTATTGACCCTCTGTGGAGGCAGGTTCTGCTGTGCTGGAGAAGAGGCCTGGGAGGGAGGGGTACAGGAGAGGCTTTGCCACCTCGAGCCTGTCCAAGGGCGACTTTCCTAGGAACCAGGAAGTGACTGGGGCCACGCTGGCGTCATCGCTCTGACCTAAGGACTGGGATGCACCGAACCCAGACCGGCTTCCGGGAGGGCTGGCGGAGGGCCTGCACAGGCTCTGGGGCCCGGGCCCTGTCCCGTGAGTCATTCGCGCACACACAGTCGCCTCAAGTGGCTCTGTTTGCTCTAGGACACAGGATTTGTTTTGGGGGGCGGTGCAGTGGGCATCTCAGCTAGAGCTTTTGCACATGGAATCAGCCTTGACTTCTCGCTGCTTGGCCTGGAGGGTGGGGCCGGGGAGAATGTCAGGCCCGGGAGGACACAGACTCTGGCGGCTCCTGTTGGGAGTGGTTTCCCCTGGACGTGTTTGGCCAGTGTGTGTTGGGGGAGGGGCTGCCGGAAGGGGGGCTGTTGCAGGGGTGGGAGGCTGTCCCATAGTACAGAAGGGCAAACTGAGGCCTAGAGAAGAGCACCAGGGGCGGGTGCTCTGGGGAGTCAGGCAGCCCTGGGGCCCGTGTGGGCTCTGCCGCTCGTGCCGTGGGTCAGCCAGTGACTGGCCCCGGGAGCCTCTGGTTCTCCTCTGATGACTGCTGGAGGCAGTGGTTGTGCAAATCAGGCATGATGAGCGTGCCCAGTGCCTGACACACACTTGATGTCCACCCCACCGAAGGTGGCGCCTGTCCCCAGTGCCCTGCCGCCAGTCCTGCACCCAACTCAGACCACCTGCCCCAAGACCTGAACTGTCATCTTCGTCTTGGACACCCCTCCAGGGCCCAGGACCCCTGAGTCCCTGCACTGAGAGAAATGATTTCAGTTTTAGGGGAAACTCATGAAAATCTAGGTCTGTGCTGTCTAATACGGTAGCCACAGACGGCTGCTGGAAGGAACTCAGGCACATTGAGGTGTGCTGAATGTAAAGCACACGCTAAGTTTCAGGGACTTAGTATAAAAAAAGAATGTAAAATATGTCAGTTTTAATACAGTATTGATTACTTGTTGAAATGGTAATATTTTGGATATATTGGGTTAAATAAAATAGATTATTAAAATTCAACCCACCTGTTTCTTTTCACTTTTTAAAATATGTGGCTGCTAGAAAATTGAAAATTCCCGATGTGGCTCACATTCTCTTTCGATTGGACCGTGCTGCTCTAGACTCTGAGGGCCCTAGACTCTGCTGGCACCTGCTTAAGGGATGTGTCACCAAAGGTCGGGCAGGAAGGCGGGTGCTGTGGGATAGAGGTGCCCGTGTCCCTGGGCTGGTGGCATTAGAGGTAAGAGTGGAGCCCTGATAGGAAGCAGGGCCCCGGCCAGGCTGCTGGGTGGAACCACAGGGCTGGAGCGGGGTGCTCAGGAGGGGCAGCTAGGCGGGCAGCCAGGGCCTGAAGGCCAGATGGCAGGGCAGGCTCCCAGTGTGTCCCCATCACCCAGGATGGTGGGATCCCAGTGGTACTGCCTTGCCCAGCTCCTCAGTGTCCCCCGTTTGACCCTGGAGCCCTCCCCCTTCCTTCCTTCCGGGAGGAAGAGCAGGGTAGCCTGCCAGGAGCCTGGTGCTCCTGGGAACTATGCATCATATAAACACGGCCCAGGCCACTGGCCTTTGTCAAAGCAGGCAGGGGCAGCCCACGTGAGGGGCACACCCCAAATGCAGAGCATGGTCAGTGCCCCGAGGCAGCAGCCCAAAGCCGCAGTGGCCGAGGAGGAGAAAGGGGCTGGCTCTTCAGACATCCAGCGGCCCGTCCTGGTGTCCACACTCTCCGGCCCATGGTGGGGCTGCCGGCTCCAGCACTCTCCCCTCCTCCTCCCCCGGTTCATCTCTTTTGTGTGTGAATTATTGATGCTTCCACCTCTCCTCTGCCTGGCTGCCGCTGTGACAGAAGCCCACGAAGGAGGGAGGCACTGCCTCCAGCAACCGCACCTCTGGCCACAGAAGGCAGCCTGCACCGGGTATGCTGAGCTGGCGTGGCCACAGGCCTGGCCCATGGTCCTAGGGACGATGGACCTTCCCACCTTGGGAGCCGGCGTGAGTCACCCACTGGGAGAGGGTGTCACTGGCTGTGGCCCCAGAGCCCGGTGTGGCAATTGGCGGCTCTCACAGAGCTGGGCTTGTGCGGGCTGTGGGGCACTGGCGCCCACATAAGGGCATTGTTTGCTGAGGTAAAAGGGGTTTTTGTCTCCTTCTGGAGACGGGACAGAGGGAGGAACAATTTCCCCCATTCATCACTAATTCCCCCATTTGAATAGCAGCACATTGCCCCACGTTAAATAGACGGGCACGCAGTCCTTCCCTGCCCGTGGGCATTCCGGGCACAGGTGGTGGGCTCTGCGTCCTGCCCCGCACCGAGCTGAGAGGCCTGGTTTGGTGGACATGTTCAGCAGGGGTGCATCCCCCGGCTGCTCCCCTGCTGCCCCGGAGCACCCTTCTCTCTGTAATTCACACAGTCACAGGTTGGGGGCAGTCTTGTCCTGCCATCATTGTCCTGGGCCTCGGGTGGAGTGCCCATCCTGGAGGGGCCTCCTGGCACAGCAGCACAGATAAGGACCAGGTGGGGACAAGAGTCACTTCCAGCTCCAGGTCTGCGGTGGCGTCAGCCAGCACACGCCCCTGCCCGAAGAGCGGTGGCTGGAGGCCTGCACCCCTGGAAGGCCCATCTCCTATGTGCCGTGTGCCAGGCCCTTGGTGCCCGTGGGGCCAGCTGGGTTCTTTCACAGAGTCATAAAGTGTCAGAGCCCAAGAGGGCGGCAGCGGCAACTCCCTGGACTGCAGATAAGAGGAGCCAAGGAGGCGGGCTGTGCCCAAGGTCAGGAGACGGCGAGGCCCCACACCCACCTCCCCAGCTGGGCCCACCCGTCTTGTTCGGGCATGGGTTTGGGGGCATGTCCGTGTCTCCCTTAAATTACGCTTTTTGGAGGGGGTTGGGAGGAGGAAAGAATTAGAAAGGGATGGGAACCCAGCTTGCCTCAGCCCAAGTTGTCGCAGTTTCCCTCTCCCCTCTTTCCCCAGTGACGGGCGCTCTCGGGGCCAGGTGCTGTGCTAGGCCCGGGAGTGGGGCCCTGCAGCTGCCTCTCCTGTGGTTACAGCCACCTCAGGACAGACCTGGGGTTTGTGGCGGGTCCAGCCCCACGGCCCCTCCCGGGGAGGACTGTGGATGACTGAGAGCGAACCAGACACCCGTGGTGACTTAAACCTGCCTCTGTCAGCTAGCTTCAGTGATAAGGAAATCACTGGCTCCCATAACCAGAAAGTCGAGGGCCTTCTTTGGCTTTAGGCACAGATGGATTTGGGGGGATCCGTCTGTGCCAGCCTGTCCCCTGCATCCCCAGTGTGGCCTCCCTGCCAGGTGGGCTGAGCAGCCCCTGTGGGGGAGAGGTCGTCTTCCCACCATTTCAGCAAAAGCCTCAGACTCACTTTCATGGGTCTGTCTGGGTCAGATGCCCATCACCGATCGCTGTGATGGGCGGTGCAGACCGTGGGGAAGCCGGGAAGACTCGGGGTGCCCTCACCAGAGGAAGGGGTGTGGTTTCTGGAGAGGCAGGAGTGATCTGGGCCCGCCCAATACAGCCCTGGCAACCCTGAGTCTGCGGGGCTGGGGCAGCTTATGGGGGGCTGGGCACAACCAGAGACACAGTATGTCAGGAGGTGATCGGTGCTCTGGAAAAAACAGGTAAAGGGGTCAGAGTGAGGCAGGGGGCTGGGCAGGGAGGTCTTAGTGAGAAGGTCACCTTTAAGTAAAGCCCTGGAGGGGAGGAAATGTGCCAGAGAGATAGCTGGGGACAGAGTGTCATGAGAAGAGGGGACAGCAAGTGCAAAGGCCCGGAGCACAGCTGGACTGGGGTGACAGTGGGGGACACTGCCAAGAGTGTCTGGCTTCCACTTGGGGGTTTGAACTTAGTCCCTGCAGCTGTGGCCGGATGACAGCCACTGCCTAGGGGGCGGGTAGATGGATACAGCCCCCCACCCCCACCCCCAGCAGCTCCTCTGCCCCTGCTCGGCTCTGGGCACTTCAGCCCTCGCTCCAGGGCCTTCTCAGCATTGTCTTTTGTAGCTTCTTCCAAGGACTACTTCTTCCAAAAAGCCTTCCCTGCCTCCCTCCTGCACAGTGCAGACCCTGGGGTCCAGAGCTGGGGTCTCAATGAGGCTCTGCAGTTAGGGAGGGCTTCCCCGAGGAGGAGGAGCAGGAGGCAGTCGGAGGAGCATGGATCAAGGGCCAGAGAGCTCCCAATGCTCTCTTTGGAGCCCAATCTCCTCTTGAACCCTCAGGTGTCTTCCTCGCCAGAGCATGAGCCTCTGGGACAGGAACCACCTTCGTCTTTTCACCGCTGTGTCCCCAGTGCCCCGCACGGGCCTGAACACTCAGTGATGTTCAAGAAAGGAAGGGATGAAGGCACGAAGAGCATCTTCCAGGTGCTGCCTCTCCCTCTTCCCCTCCCTGTGCCCACTTCAGATTTGGCACCGTGCTGGGCTGAGGGGCCCCCAGAAGCCCACGCTCCAGTCCAGGAAAGCCATGTGTAGGAAGGAGGCGTGTTAGGAAGTGCGAAAGCGCGTGCTGGAGGCAACCGGCTTTTTTTTTTTTTTGGCGCCTACTCTCTATTCCAGGTATTGTCTACACCATGTAAATCCTATTTTACTGACATGACACCCATCTTGAAAGGAGGCTGAGGCTCAAGGAGGGGAAGTGGTGTTTTCAAGGAGACACAGCCGGCATCCATCCCACTCCACAGCCCCTCTGCATTCCACCTAAAACGCACGGCCTCTCCCGTCAGCAGAAAGTGGACCCCAGCTGTAGGCTGCCCCAGGGGCGGGCGGCGCCGGGCTGGCTATGCAGGCAGGTGGTTAGCAGCCGGGTGGAGGGCGCCCTAGCAGCGTGATTGGGGTCTCAGGATCTTGTGACTCTGTCCCTCTGATGTGGGCCCTGTGTGCGGCTGGCTTTCCCTGCCCCCAGGGCAGTGTGGATGTGGGGGAGGCTTGGCCCGTGGTAAATGGTGTGGGGGCGAATGGAGCTTGTCT